GTAAATTTCCAGAGGGCAGTGGGACGTCAGGCTGGCCTGGTTTTCTGACGTCATAAAAACAGCTGGAGAGAGGGAGGAAGGAGCTGGAAAGCTGGCCAACCTCCAGCCAGATGGGAAGAGAGGCTGGTGACTAGCTGTGTGGAAATGGTTAGATATGTCCCTCTCTTGTCTCTCGGCTGTTTGCGGATAGTTAGCCGGTGCACCCACGGCTGCGGCAGTAGGCTTCATACACTTCATACTAATACCTATTTCGGTTCGGACATTAGAAACTTGTCAGCTTGACTGTGATACCGGCCCTGTGTGAGATTTACACAGATCCACTGCCACCATTCAAGACCGGGCCGCCTACTTTGGCGGGGTCCGGTGGTGACCTTTTGGCTGATTTTCGGTGATACATAGTTCGGCGGTCGGCCTGTGTCTTTCACTCAGTTCCATTGATATATTTTAGCCGCTGTAGTGAAAGACCAATAAAGTCAACAGCCCGTTCCATTATCCATATAATACAGATTTGTTGGCGGTGTTTCACGCGCCGTCGAATCTCGGGTAGTTTTGTTTTGTGTTTGTGTGTGTGCTCGTAATGGGACAACAAAGGACCCACCTGAGCGCAAATGTATTGGATAGCGCTTATTAGTCTTGCTTGTTGGTCGTAGGCATTGACCTTGTGCTGGTTCGCAGAAAACGGAAATCCCTAAAGCCCTACGGAACGCTGTGTCTTAATGGCCCTGTCGCAGGCTTTCTACGAAGCTCCGGGTCTTCTCTGCTCAGGTCCCAGCAGTACAGTGATTGGATGTTGGTCGTTTGACGTCACAAAATACGTCCTGACCGTGCATCGGCGCACCATTCTGCCAGTGTTTGCGCTATCTGAGATTGGGAAACGCTTCTATTTCCATGTTATCACAGTGAGAGGAAAACAGTGTCGAATGTTGCAAATTTCACTTAGCGCACTTAGCGCCTTCGCTGAAAACACTGCCGCGCTCTGGAGAATTAGATCAGCGGCGGGTACGCTGTTCGCGGTCCGTGGGTTTTCTATGTATCGCGCTCTTCTTTCTACGCAAGGAAACGTATTTACCTCGTCGGTCGGTAAAATCAGTTAATGTTTGGTTAATCGGAGCTCCCCGAGTGTTCGCCTGGGAGCGCTTTTAGCCTCCTCTCAGCGCCGCTGCTAAGTGCTTACAGTGCAGCTAAGTGCTGTTAGTTATGTAGGTACTGGTCGACGGGGCAGCTGTTGGTAGGTGCGGTCTGATTGGTTAATTCCGTGAGACGAGTCTGTGCTAAACGCTCTTCACGTCTGAACAAAAAACTAATGATTATCGTTACAGTCACGAGTCACGACCCATGCGGACTGTGGGCTGCCCATTTGTATTTGGAGTTTGCTGGTCGTTTGGCCCGTTGAGATCGTGGCGTGTCTGTCTGCCGTTCCGTTGCCGTCCCCTCTATCGTATTGTCTGCTGTAAATGGGGGGGGGGGCGCTCCCCTGTGGCGGGGACAGCTCGGTCCGTCCCCGCTGACTGGCTGAGGGGCCGTCAGCAAGTGAAGCCCAATACCTCGCTGTGCCCAGCACCTCGTCATCATTAGTGTCATGCTGCGGCGACCGGCGCCACCCCCGGAGACCCAGCCATCATCCCGATAACATATCCGTCATCTGGGTCCGTGGGCAACGCCCCGACTCGGCCGGCGCGAGCGTCGTTTGTCCCCAGTCAGTATCCATATATAGCTGTCTGCATTTTGGTCGTGCATTTCGGGCAGGCATTTTTTTTTTTTTTGTCGAAGTCATATGGAGGTGTGGTTTTCTCATGCCGAGATCTTTGTTTGTGCTTGGCGTTTGGATAAGTTATCTTGTAGGTACGTTCCACTGGGACTTGGTCTGCATTCTTTCATGAGGTCGCGACAGTGTTTTCTCCCCGGGTCTGCTCTGACAGGGCCAATCTTCGCCGGGAGTTCTTTGATAAATCGCCTCTGCAAGTATCCCAAGTATGAGCACCATATGTGGCACGGCTCGGTATCGGCGGCCATGCGTCATCCACCGGCTATGCATCTTTAATAACATCACAGGGGGAGATATTTCCAAGCGGAAAAACGCCCTCTCGCTGTGAGGAAAAGGAACGTTATTGAGTCTACTGGTGAGCCAGTCGCTGACGCCGGGTTCGGAGGCGTAGCTGGTATAAATGCGTCCCTTTATTTGGGGTCGGGAGCGGGCGGAGTGGGGCGTGACTCCCACTCCACTCCGGTGTCATTGGGAATGGCGTAGATGTCTGGCGGAACTCAAGGCACGCGAACGGTTGATGGCCGACCCAATGGTGCCCTTTTATTGTCTGATATTAGCTAGAATATCGTGCTGCCTTTTATTATTGAAATATTTGCAATGTTTTAAATCCGTTTCGTCCCTCATTACAGTCTTTCTTCAATTGTAATGGCCACTTTGTAAACCCTCATTTGATAGTTTTCTTTCAAGTAGGCTTTTCAGTCTTTCATTAGCGTGTGCGTGTCCTTGTGGAGTACCCAACTAACAAAAACCTTTTGTCTCTAAGTATGGTTGTGAGTTTGCCGAGTCGGCTTACGGCGGCGGACAGGATTGGAGCTGAGGGTTCTGGAGGCGGTTCCGGGCCGGCCCGCTGCGCACTCTTACTGCGATACAAATTGACTGGTGCAGAAGAAAGCTTGAATACAAACAAGCTTTTGACAATCGTTGCGTTACTAGAGACACTGGATCGCCGATGATGTACCATATAAATAGGGGTCTTTTGAAACGATGCGTCCGGCGTGTCTGTTTTGTTTTTTGTAAAATAGAGCATTTCGTTGGTTTGAAATGTACCATTTCGGGAACGCTGCGTCGCAGCTGCGAGTGCAGCTGACCGATGGACAAAATCAAATATACCAACTGTAGGAACTAGGAAACCAAGAGAGTGTGCTGCCTCTGAAAGTTCTATCTTCCCCAGAGATGCTGCTGGCATCGACGGCATTACAAAATCATGGGCTCCTTCAGTAGTGCAGAACTTTGCGTGTGACGTCAAATGTCATTTACCTGACATGAACAGAAAATATGGTAGGTGTCAAAAAGATCCGGTTTTGAACAAAGGGTCACATTTCAGCTGTGTATCTGTCCGCATATCAATTTATCACGGAGTAAACCTTACCTTTGACAGGCATGGCGGTGAACGTTACCGTTTTAACCCGCGAGTTGCTGGGGGGGGGGGGCGTTAAACGCCCCCACTTTTTTCGCCGGGCCATAGCATAAAAACGGCGCGCCGCAGGCGCGCCAAAATTTGGGTACCTGTAGGGAATTGATTGAAGTTTATTGTGATAAAGTTTCAAAAAAATCGGTCCGAAAATTTTTGAGATATCGAGGTTTTAGTGACGTCATGATTTCTGAGTTTTCGACCAAAAACGGCATATGTTCAAAAAATCATATAAAATCACAGAATAGACGTACAGACATGCCGTAAACGCCATTAGACTGCCAATACCATGGACAATCAAATGGCTATCTTCGATTATTGATTATCGTTCTGCATTTGCCAAAATCTTGAACTGAATCTTGGCAATTTCTCGCGACTACTTCACGACCATGATACATACATTTCTTAAATTGAACTTTTTGAGCCAAACACGTACACATATGATAAAATGAATGTCACCATCGTGTTCTACGCCCCAAATTACCCATAAAACATGTGTCGCAGACTGCGAATTTCAGTTTTGATTTTCGGGGATATGTGCCTACCCGGTTGACCTGACCTTGACCCTGACCTATATTTGACTGAACCCTACATGGAGCTGACACTCTTGTACGCCTTATATGATGAATTGTGCACCGTTTTGACAACGTTTATGACGAGAGGCGCCCATTGCGAAGCCCTGAAGTCCATGCTACTGAAAGCCCGATTTCAGGTGTTTGACCTGACCTTGACCCGACCTGTGACCTCAAAATTCAACTTTAAAGTACTCATCTGAAGCGTCTCGTCGCGCTCTTTCGTTTGCCGCCTCGTGCGTTTCGCTGCGCCTATTGGTTCTCGAGTTATCGGCTGGGGGCGTTTAACGCCCCCCCCCCCCCCCAGCAAACGGTGGGTGGCGAAATACCCCAGCAACTGCCGGGTTAAATGTCAACCTGCAATGGCAGGTATTGTCTGACGGATGTAGTGCATCGCTGTTTAAATGGATACTCTTGATACTCTTAAAAACCTGTTCTAAGTATTTCCTGGTATGTTGTTTGATAGTATTAAAACAATGGAAATAAATTCGTGGAAAAAAAAACTATAATGAACGCTTATCGACTTAGGAACACTGACAGCCGCTACCTATCGTTGGTTTTGCGTGTGGGGGATTGTTTGGGCAACCGCTCTAGGTCAAAACGGCTATCAATCGCTCTGGGTACGCTTGTGACGGTCGTGAGAGAGCTCGTCCCATGCTGCACCGACCGTTCATGGGCCGCCCGGTGTGTGACTCGTTCCGCGCTGTCCCTACACCCAGTGTGTGTGACACGCCAGTGGACCAATCCGCACCCGATGACGACCGATGGCCGCGGCGCAGCAGGCGGAGGAGAGGCAGATTGAGCGTTATATTGACATTGGTGACGGATGGACGCCGACCGGGAGTGTGTGCGGAGGGGTCCGCCCCCTCCCCCCCCCCCCCCCCGCCTCCCCCCTCCGCCTCCTCCGGAAGATGGTCGGCGCACTGTCGCTTTCTGTCGGTGACAACTAGCTGAAATGGATACCAGAAAATTAGATATTATTGAAAATAGAAAGAAGTAAGCAAATGCAATGATACGTTAGTAATTCCTTTGAACTTTTAATTTCGATTTAGTGATAGTTTTCCCATGCGTTAACGCGTAAAATGAAAAGATGTTGGTTGAATCCACACTTGACAGTGATCTTGAATTTTGTGTATGAAACTATGGATGTAACTTTCCTGCCCTTTATCTCCATTCCTGTGTCGTATTGACGACGCTCCCCCGCCCTCTGCCTGCCGCTCTCACTGACCGACCGACACCCCTCTGCCGCCAGGTACCCCAACATCGAGCTGACCTACGAGGTAACGGACAAGGACCGGGTGCGTTCCGGTCACCCGGTGCACCTGGTGGTCAGCCTGGAGCGAGAGGACGACGTCGTCGGACCCGTCATCGCGCCCTTCTTCCCTCAGGTGGGTAGGGGGTTCGGCTGTGTGGTGGGTGACAGTTACTGAAGGGGTGTCTCGAAGGCCGTATGGGGTACCGTAGTGCTTTACGGTGTTCGGGGTTTTTCAGTATGCATTACAAGGCCGTGCGACAAGTGACAGAAGCGCCGTCACGTTGATATGGAGGGGGGGGGGGAGGCACCGAAATGAGCCGTGCGTTTGGATAATTCGGACGGTGTATGGTGGGGGCAGTCGGTCTGCTGCCACGACTGACAGGACAATATGGGTCGTTGGACAGAGGAACGTTGGCTGTGGCGACATCACACAAGTATTCTACCAAACAACAACATGAGGACGGCTGGTTATCAGATTGGCATACTAGTTATTTCATCTACCTCATTTCCCACATTGTTAATATGGAAAGTAGCTGCCTTTCCGCGCTGGCCGCACGCCCGCGCGTGCCGGGCGTCCATTCGGTCCCGGGCAGACCAGGCGTGGGGCGGTGCGTGATGACTGTCCCGGGAACATGGGCGGTCGGAACGGCACTCACACGCGGTCGGCACGGTCCTGGCCGAAGCTGAGCGATTCTACTCATTTCATGGTGTTTCGGCCTACACTAGTGAAATATGATGTAGTTGTGCGCTCATGACGATAATACGTTGACGAGCTTACCCTGGTAAAAAATTATGATGTGGGGCCTTAGTTGATCCCGAATGCTGATTTCTTTTGCTCTTTGCTCGCACGAAAACTGAAATTGATTGAACTGGGACAATTTGATTGATTTGATTCATTTCATTAATATTTATCTTATGTAATGCGTTCACAAGCTTACCCTGGAAAAAAATTATGATGTGGGGCCTCAATTGATTCCGAAGGCTAATTTCTTCTGCTCTTTGCTCGCACGAAAACTTAAATTGCTTGAACCGCGACAATTTGATTGATTTGTTTTATTTCATTAATATTTATCTCATGTAATGCGTTCACAAGCTTACCCTGGAAAAAATTATGATTGGGGCCTCAATTGATTCCGAAGGCTAATTTCTTCTGCTCTTTGCTCGCACGAAAACTGAAATTGCTTGAACCGCGACAATTTGATTGATTTGTTTCGTTTCATCAATATTTATCTCATAGAATGTGTTCACATGCTTACCCTGGAAAAGTATGAAAAAATAATATTCATCTTATTTATTTCGACTTTTTGTATTGTGTTTCGCGGTGACTGTCGGCCGCCTTGCGGCTCCGGGAGACGCTCCGGACTGAATCCGGTCCGGCTCGGCTCCGTGGTCAGAGTACTTAATCAGCTGTGTTCAGCACGCTGCCCGGCCAAGGGTCGATGTGCGGCGCGGTAACTCATCCTCCCAACACCAAACCGCCGCCGCCGGAGACGTATGGGGCTGCTCCCAGAGGAGATGTAAGGGTTTGAACGCTGGGAACATTCATTTGCGGTGTGAATGAATTGTCCCGACATTAAATCCATCCAACTTTCTGCATGGCACGGTCGCGCTTTTCGAGAGCGTTGTTGAAGTTGGACTTTGCGACCGAAGTTACTGGGGACATTCATTTGCGGCTCGGCATCCACACCCAACTCTGGCCATGGTAATCAGCGTCCGAGTCGTTTTGTGGCGGCGCCGCCTCCCACGCTAAACCATTGCCGGCCGGTGTGTTTAACGTGCGGCCCGGTGCCTGTGGAACCGACGGCTGGGGACGTGATCTCCCTCCCAACAGGGGCCGTCCGCGCGGCCGGCGCCGGCCAGCTCCGCCGAGCACCGGTGCAGCTCCGCGTGCCGGGAAATTGCCTGCCACGACCACGGCTCGCACATGACCGCACGAGCGGCGGACACAATAGGAGGCAGCATTGGTCAGCTAACAGGGTACGTGCGCCGGCACAGTGCTCACTGGGCGGTAATTACACGACAGAACGGTGCATCCAGGCAACGGAACAGAGCATCCAGGCAACGCAGCGCCGCATCCCCGCGCGTGTTGCCGGTGACGGGCCGTGCCGTGTCTTACACACAGCGCCGGTACGTTGCGGATGCAGCCTGATGCGACTGCCGGGCGCTGCGAAAGCTGGGGCACTCAAAGGCCGTGGCAGAGGGTGTGACGTGAGTGACGTCACATTGTAGCTCCAGGTTATTGACGCGCGCGAGGCCTCGACTCAGTTTGATTGAGCAGTCGCGTGTCAAGACGCCACTGCGTCTGTTTGAGAAATGTAGGGAGGTTGAGCGAATGGCTCGCTAGAGAACTAATCAAATGTGATGGTGTTGTTCCATGACAGAATTTGGTGGCTGATGTAGACATTACTTTATATCGATATCAGCGTTGATTGTTAGTCGCATCCAGCGTACCAATGGCGACTGGGAGCGTATTCGGTTCCTACGAACGTGATTCAATCCCAGAGAATGCATATGAGCCAATACAGCGCTCGGAGTCCAGGAAATGTCACCCATTTAGATGACGCTCGTCTCTTCGTGGCACGATAGTGCGGCTGAATCGCCGTGCGTTTCGATTTACGATTTTATGCATATGAGTAGCAGAGTCTCCCGCAACCGCCGCCGACCTTCCGTGTCTGACCCCCCCCCCCCCCTCCCTCGGTCAGCGGCGGGACGAGGGCTGGTGGCTGGTGGTCGGCGACCCCAAGACCAACTCACTCATCTCCATCAAGCGGCTGACGCTGCAGCAGAAGGCCAAGGTGAAGCTGGACTTCGTGGCGCCGTCGCCCGGTGAGTAATGATCGCGGAGGCTCCGAGTCTCTGGAGGCAGACGGAGGCCGGCCCGGACTGGACTGCCGGCGAAACGGTGTGCCAGAGGGGCCTTACAGATCGTAGCTTGCTGGGGCTTACTTTTGTGTGATTATTACGTTGCTGGTGTTATATATCTGTTGTTCTGTCTTGACGTTGTGTCGGGATTTTTCGTCCATGACCCTGTTTCCTATCTTGTTCGCGTTTATCCGGGGGTTTCTTTTTAATGCCATCGTATCATCAAATTAGGCAGAGGCTTAATGACCTCGTAAATGTAATTTATATCGTCACTCATGGGACCTACGCTTGCTATAGTCTATTTTAAGCCAAAGAGATTGAACAAAGTGGTCTAGGCTCATCTTAACGGCACGTTTACACGAAAATACAGGCAAGCGTGTGAACTTCCCACATGGCAGCGTTAAACTGAGATTTCGTCGTGAAAATCCCCTTTTAATAAATGTTTTGGCCCTGGAAACTCGACCCGTCACGCCATCAACGACACGCGTCGTGCTCGCTTTGTTCTAACTACCGCTGCTCGCTGACTGACGTCCGTGGCGTTTTCAGGGAAGCACACTTACGTGCTGTACTTCATGTCGGACTCGTATATGGGCTGCGACCAGGAGTACAAGTTCTCTCTGCAGGTTGGCGAGGCGGACAGTGACAGTGAGAGCGGCAGTGACAGCGACTGAGCGAGCGATCCCGCCGGCGTACGATGTGCGTGTGCGTGCGTGTGCGTGTGTTCGCTAGATGGGACACGGGAGTGGTGCGTGATGCGATACGAGCGTCTGTTTCATAGTGTGGATGTTTTCGGTTGGTTGTATGGAGCAGACTGTGTTTTAGGTGGCCAACTTGGCTGATGTTTTGGAACGTGCTTTCGTATCGCATCAGACCGGCAGGACAGTCGGCACCGCCAGATATGCGCGGGGCGTCATCAGGACTGCCGTCATCACCTGTTACGTACCGTGTGTCGAGTGTCACAGAGAGCATCCCTCGCTCAGTAACCGCCGGGCCGGCTGGACTCGCACCTCACCCAGTGAATGTCGCACTGGGTGGAACTCGCTGCTGTGTGCGCCAGAGGGCCATATACGCGTGTTCTGCGTACCGACGAGCCGCAGCTGTCGTCTCCGGTGATGTGTCGGTGCTCACGGCTCGGGTCGCGCCCCAGCGGCCGGCCAGCAGCGCCCGGCGAGCCCATCGGCCCGAGACCTCGTACAATAAATCGCCAGCTCGCCACCCAGCTCGTTTGCTGGGTCCCTCCGCGGACCGACGACAAGCGGCGGTGCCAGTGCCGCCCTTGTGGAGCATCGGACCGGCGCGGATCGCAGTGCCGGCGAGCGCACGGCCGACTCGGGTCAGTAGTGGGATCATTGCAGGGATTGTGATGGAGACGGGAAAGGCACGGACAGACTCAATGCCGTATTACGGCGCACGAACTCACAGGGTTACGACGGTTGACACGGCACTGGAAGGCGTGCTGGCGACAACGTCTTATGTAGGGTTCAACGGGATAGGTACGAGAAGTGACACCACTCATCAGTACATTTTCTGTCATACACCTCTCTAAATCTTTGCTTATGTAGTGGCCTATTTTTAATTGTTCACACATGTAATACAAACAATCATTTGTGTGCCCGTCGGCGCTAGGCTGCCCGCACTAACAACCGACATCACGTCGCCGGGCCGACCCGGAACTGTCCTCACTGCAGCCATCTACGACCGGATATCGTTATATACTGGTCCGCATGCATTCTCATTAGCCGTAGCTAACCTATGATCACCCGGGCCCGACCAGGCGCTGTACCAATATCCGTCCATTACGCGATGATGTCACCCAATGACGCAACAGTTGATGAGGATGTTCTCGGAAACTAAGAACACTCGCCACTAGCCAGTCCATCGTGGAAGCATGGTGAAAGGCTCCTTGGCTTCAGAGGATAATTAGGTGCATTATTGATGGACTGTTCCGCATTGACAAAAAAAAAACTTCCTAACTAGGATAAACTTAGTAAATAATAGAGAAATTGGCAACTGATTTTCGGTCAAGTCGTTGGTGTACTCCAGCAAACACCGAATGCGACCTGAAAAATGGGCAAAAATGTGTACATAAGTGTGGAACACTCATCGTAGCATATGTTCTAGGGCATTGATGGGGTTTGGCACGCGCTGCTAAGCTGTCAGGTAAATGACCGGATATAAAAAATGGCCTTGATATAAAAGAATATATAATAGCCCTGTTGACCTAACGAGTGCCCTGGGGTCAAGGTATGGCATTAATTAATAATCCTCACTTTTTGCAGGGCATAAATGTTCTTCACCTACGACATGACTCCTTTGCTTATTGCTGTCGTAAATTTTTATTGCAGTTATATTGTAGGTCACAGTTTCAAGTCGTACCCTGAAAACAGCGACAGTAGAGGCTGAACCGGTGAAGAATCGCTGTCAGCAACACGTCTGTTTATTGAAGGCCGTCAACGGAACCGGAAGACCCCCCACCCCCACCCCCACCCCATCGAATCTGGCTCGCCCTGTGACCGGGTTACGGGCTAGATCTAGTGCCGGCCCGCCCTTACCCGCTACATCGTGGGTATAAAACCCGACCCAGCCACGCCCCACGGTGTAGTCACTGATCAGGGAGGTTGCCTGCCACGTCCGGAGACGCAGCCGCCATGATGAGCTCGGTAAGTGTTCGGTTCTCTGCTAACTGAGCACCATTGGTGATTGGACGATGTAAAGACAGTGCCACAAACATGAACTGGAGTGAGCTATGTGCCATGGAAGCTGTCGGGTAGTAGCGTTAGATAGTTAAAATGGCTTGTAACGTTGCAACGTTGAGATACGGCCGGCTTAAGATGCGATTCGTTGCTGGTCGCTCGTAAAAGTTTTTTGCGTGCAGCAGTCTTCGCTGAAAAATACACGTTTCACTGAGACTGATCGGTCTGCTGTTTCACTGCTGCAGGTATCTGTGTGGCTGCTGTCAGCCGTCTGCGCCCAGCTGGCAGCGGCTCAGGCGCCCACCCAGTACAACTACCCCGAGTTCACGGGCGGCTACCAGGCTGCCGGAGCGGCGGCCAACCGTCTGGCTGCCGCGCGGACCGGTGGGTTAGCGCCGGCGCCCCGGGCGGCCGCCACCGGGCCGGGCCCCTACAACGCCGCCGCCGTGGCCGCCGGGTACAACTACCCGGAGTTCACTGGAGGGTACCCGGCCCGCCAGCAGGCCCCTGCGCAGGCCTACAGCCCCGCACCGGCGGCTTACAACGCCGCGCCTGCCGCCTATAGCCCTGCCCAGGCCGCCTACAACCCCGCTCCCGCCGCCTACAACCCCGCAGCCTACAGCAGCGCCGCAGCTTACGATAACGGCGGCTACAGCGGCGGCTCTGCCTACGACAACAGTGGCTACAACGACGGCTACCAGGCGCAGAGCGGGCCGTCCCACTACAACTACGGCTACGCCAGCGACACGTCGGCCAAGCAGGAGGTGCGCTCGCCGGACGGCACCGTGCGCGGCGCCTACAGCTACATCGACGCCAACGGCAGGACGCAGAAGGTGGAGTACGTCTCGGACTCGACCGGCTTTCACGTGGTGCGGGGCACCAACCTGCCGCAGGCGCCGGCCCCGCCGCCGACGGCGTAGGGCGTGGTGGCGAGCGTCGTGAGTGGGGACGAGGTAGAGGGTTGGGCTCGTGATATTAGTCTGGTCGGACGGGAGTCAGCCGGAGGTCAGCCTACGACGGGCTTTGGGCGGGTGGCCTGTTCAGATCAGTGAATACGGGGACTGGGCCCTGTGCGTGCAGGGCAGCTGTTCTATGGATTGTATGTTGTTTTCGTGTGACGTTCGCGTCTTGATGCTTGCCGATAGATTGTCAATTACCTGATGAAGATTTGTTTTGATAAGGTAGCAATGACCTTTACTTTGAGTTCGATGCAATGTAACCATCGTCTGATCATAACGCATTTGGGAAGAGGAGCCAGGAGGCGCTCTTTCGCTCTTTCGTTTTCCCTCACTCTTTCTCTCTATCGCGTCTGCTTTGCCACGTAGCGACAAACACCGCTGCCACTGGATAGTCCACAGTTGGCACCCCGCCGGCTCGGTCCAGCTCTCCCGCAGCTAGTGTCACGCGTTCATTCCCACTGGGGTCGACACGTGCAGCCCCACCGGAGCCGTCAGCGACGCCAACCACCTCGCCGGCTCCACCCACCGAACACAACAGACGCCGCCCACCGTCACACAGCGGTGCACATTCTCCAACACTTGTTTTTACCGGCGCCGGACCCCCGCCAGGCCAAGGCAATCAGGGTTCATCTGATTAGGCCGCCGGGCACACGGAGGTCGCTGCTTGAGAGCATTGATCGGGAGGTCAGCCGGCCGGTCGGTTGGCTGGCTCAGCTGCGGCCTAGAGGAAGTGAACGGCGGCCAGCGGTGGAGAGGGAGAGAGCTAGTAACTAGTAAGGGGCTGCGGAAGTCGGCTGAGTGCGGGTGGGTCAGTTTTCACTGGTCACTGATCGCTGACTTTCGAAGCTGCATAAATATCATGTATTTTTACGATTATTCTGGTCATAGAATTTGCTGGAAGAATATTGCTGTCAGAACGCCTGTCATGTGAAGCCGACTTGACCCTCACCAAGTTATTTTCGTGCACTCAAACTTTTTGCCCGGTACTGCGATGGGCGATGAGCCCTAACATATTGCGCTTGCGTTTCTGAATCCGCGCACTTTATGCGTTCATTTGCAGTCTGCTTCATTAGGCATTCAGTGGTTGTCGCTGAATTTCCCGAGGCAATACATTTCGTCGGGGAGTTCCAGGATAACGTAACCACATTAGCCGCGAGACCTATGTATGACCTGTGGTGACACAACCACAAGAAATTCCCTGTCGTATAAGGCGCCCGGGTCTGAATAGCCTAGTGTTATCAGCACACAGAGCACGCCCTATACCCTCATCTGCACGGCATTATGCAGTTGTTATGTCGTTAATTTTACATCGTCACGGTATAGGTACTACGCTCAGACATCTCCAAACAATCAGACACCACTGGCACTGTCGCCCGGAATTACCAGCAGCAGTGCGTGTTTTATGTGTCGCCGTGCGGCACAAAAACCCGCCCGGCCGGCCGGGCCGACTGTCGGCGGCAGGTGCGCCGGCGGAGGCAGTGGATTTCCGCCGCGCGTCTGCGGCCGCTCCGTCGGTCGAGACGCACCGGCGCGGCGGCGGCGCGGCAACAGGTCGGCCCGGCGGCCCGGCGGCCGCCAGTGGTGTCGGCGCCGGCTGCGGGGAGGGTGGCGCCGCCGGAGCTCGCTGAGGGGGCATCTGCACGGCCCAGAGCCGACGGCAGACCGAGCGACGACCAGGGGCCGACGCACTGCCACCGGCCGAAGATTGGGACAGGAACAAGAGCAAACTCGTAAAAACTGACGCCAAGCTCTATTGGATAGAGAAAACAGGTTAGACGATAAGACAGATAATTTATCTGACAGAAGACAGCCAGCAGCAGTATTCCAGAAGATCAGGAATCGCGTCCATATTGAGGAATAGGAGACAATCTTACTTGCCGAGCAAGCGTTACATTACATCGTCCGCTGGACGGAAGGTAAACCGAATTAACTAAGACAGGCGCACTTCATGCGTAAAACGAGACTGCAGCAAGAATTGCTAAACCCCGAGTAACAAGTTAGAAGTCTGCAACCGACGGTATCGCAGACCCAGCGATCGAACTACTAATTAACTCAAGTTTGACTAATCAAGAACTTGAAACTGAGGCGTTCATTTAGTAACGAAACTTTTCGGCACAATCCAAAGCCGTACAAACTTCCATCTGTCAAAGGTCCTTGTGATACGCCTGAGCCCGTTGAACTTGGTTGAAAGGAAGCAGAATGGCGGCAAATGCCAGCGAATTACTTCAGCAAGTGCACAAAAAAGTTTACGATGAACAGTTTCTCATCCTTTACGCAAACAACTCTTTGCCGCCGTTCCAGAACATGTCCACGATTATTATGGAGGATCCGCAGAACTTTGTTCTGACCATGAAGGTGCAGATCATCTTCTACATGATCTACTCCATCATCTTCCTGCTGGGCATCTGCGGCAATTTCCTGGTGGTGTACGCCGTGCTGCACAACAGGGCCATGCAGAACGTCACCAACTTCTTCATCCTGAACCTGGCGCTCTCGGACATCCTGCTGTGCGTGCTCTGCGTGCCATTCACCCCGCTGTACACCTTCCTCAACCGGTGGGTCTTCGGCAACGTCCTCTGCCACCTGGTGCCGTGCGCGCAGGCCATCAGTATCTACATCTCCTCGCTGACCCTCACAGCCATCGCCATCGACCGCTTCGTCGTCATCATCTACCCGTTCCGGGCGCGGATGCTGACGTCGACATGCCTGGCACTGATCCTCTGTACGTGGCTGTTCTCCACGGGCGCCACGCTGCCCTACGGCGTGTACGTCGAGTACAAGATGACCACCGACGGCGACTACGTCTGCGAGGAGAACTTCCCGGACGACCTGCGCCTGACGTTCGGCACCATCACCACCGTGCTGCAGTTCGTCGTGCCGTTCCTCATCATGACCGTCACCTACACGCTCATCTCGCTGAAACTCTCCAGTCGCGTGCGCTCCAAGCCCGGCTCCAAGAGCGTGCGCAAGGAACAGGCCGACCGCGAGAGGAAGCGGCGCACCAACCGGATGCTGATCGCCATGGTGGCCGTGTTCGGCCTCTCCTGGCTGCCGCTCAACCTGATGAACATCCTGGAGGACGTCTCCATCAACCTGGGACTCGGCTGGGAGAACTGGCCCTACTTCCACCTGCTCTTCTTCGTCGCACACGCCATCGCCATGAGCTCCACCTGCTACAACCCGTTCCTCTACGCCTGGCTCAACGAGAACTTCCGCAAGGAGTTCAAAGAGATCCTCCCCTGCTTCCGCGCTGCCATCGCCGGAGGCAGCGGCACCGCCAGGGGCACCTTCGGCACGGGGCACACCCGGAACGGCATCGGCAGGAACGGCGGCACGAGCGAGCCGCGCACGAACGGCGTCAGCCTGCAGCCGAGCCCGGCCGGGCGGCCGGAGGGCGGCCACGCTGGCGCCGCCGGGCCGCCGGTGCCGCTGACCAGCATCCAGGTCAAGTACGAGGCCGGTAACGACAGCGTGCTGCTGCTGACGTCCGACCGGACCAGCGACGCCCGACACGTCTCCACGCTCACCGCCGAGACGGCCACAGACGCGTCGCCGCTCGTCACCGACCTCTAGGTGAGCAGAGACTGGTGCAGGGACTCGCCTCTAGGTGAGCAGGGGCTGGTGCAGGGACTCGCCTCTAGGTGAGCAGGGGCTGGTGCAGGGACTCGCCTCTAGGTGAGCAGGGGCTGGTGCAGGGACTCGCCTCTAGGTGAGCAGGGGCTGGTGCAGGGACTCGCCTCTAGGTGAGCAGGGGCAGGTGCGGGGACTCGCCTGTAGGTGAGCAGGGGCTGGTGCAGGGACTCGCCTCTAGGTGAGCAGGGGCTGGTGCAGGGGCTCGCCTCTAGGTGAGCAGGGGCGGCGCCTCTAGGTGAGTAGGGGCTGGTGCAGGGACTCACCTGACGCCTCTAGGTGAGCAGGGGCAGGTGCAGGGACTCGCCTGTAGATCAGCTGGGGCTGGTGCAGGGACTCGCCTTTAGGTGAGTGGGGACTGCGAGAGAGACTCATCTCTAGGTAAGCACGGCTGGGGTAAGCTAAATATTAAGGTACCGATGAACATTTGCCGATTCCTAGGTGAGCAGGGGTCGACTAGTTATTACGTAGACGGGAACCAATCTCACACCAGGCGATGGGTATCTGCGACTGTTTGGACTTTTGACTTGCGATCACAATTCACAAGGTTTTTTTCACGAATTTGCCGAGTTACTAAACGAGCAGAGACTGTCGATTAAACACGGACTACGACATTCGATGCTGTGCATTTTAAGATGCTATAGATACATAATTGGGAAGCTTCCTGCATGAAGTGTTAGCAAATCAAGAGATGTTGCCGAAACCTTTCCCTAATAAGAGAAAATGTAGCATATTTTTGCTAGGTACTCAGTGTGACATCGCCACGCTTGATGTAATTAAAACGTTATCAGCCGCGAATAGTTTTGCTAAATTTTGTTGTTGCGATGTTTTCCGTTGGTAGGTCGGCGACACCCGCCGAGGTGCTACTCTGTATTCCACCCCTTAGCCTGCCGGTCTCGTGACAAACAAAGTAAACTCGCTAAAAGCCGACAACAGTGGAGTTGGGTTACTGTTTTCTCGGTCCTGAAGCACCGTGTGAAAAAAAATATCTAGGTTTCTCACTCGCGTCCCTTTTGTTTTTTACTTCGTGTGGCTCCTGTGAAGTCGTTGCATTACGTGGTTCTTGTGCCTTGGAAGGAGAAGCAAACCTTTCTCAGATCTCGTTTTGCAGAAGCTTATTCGCTAAAAGGTTATGATTGCCTCAAAGTAAGCAGTGGGAGTCACCTCTCTTCTACAATCGATGTCTATATTCCCATCATCTTAAGCATGCCTATGTAGTTCGGTGGTGGTAAGATAGGTACCCATGTATTTAGAAGGCAAATCTTATTCTTTGGTTCTCATTTTTAGGAGATGGTCTATTGACATTCAATTTTGAGGCTGACGACGGAAGTTATAGGTACATAATCTATGGTACATAAAATCACTAGTGGAATGGAAGAACAATACTGTAAAGCGGTATGGCACTGCGTACTTTTTTTCCAATATATTTTTGCACTTAACCCATCCTGACACGTTTTCCGAGTTTTAACGTTACCTATTTTCCATTTGCATTCTGAGTGATAGCTAGATGATAAGGGCTCATGCGGCGTTTAATCTGAAAAATATGGTACCTATATTTAGCTTAAACTTTTAAGCTTTAGCTTACCTAAGGCTGCTTACGAATAGTTGTTAGCTACATTTTGTCTGAATATAGGTAAGCAGTTATAACGTCTGAACACAAATCATGTCTAAACTATTTTGAAACTCAGACGGCACAGATTAGCCTAGCACTGATAGCAAAACAGACCTAAGTAACCCTAAATATTATTTTTTTTAATATTATTTATTTAATATTAAATTATAACGTCTGGATTTCAAAATATGATTCAGACGTGTTCAGAAGTTTACTTTCAACTAAAGCATATATAGTTAACAGCAAATTAATTTAAAGTTGAAAAAATAAATGTAGGTAAGTAGGTACCAAATAAAAACATACAGATAAAACAACGCCTGATTTTTTTTTATCTACATTGACATAGTAGGCATTCACTTACAACGCAAATGAAAAATAATACGCTGATGCGGCTCCAATACCTATATAGACGTTCAACAGATTATTATTCAATTGTTAAAGTACCTACACATTTTTAAATTATTCAGCTTTTCACACATTATGAAATATGTTAAAGACGTTAACGAAACAAAACGTCTAACGTTAAACGTTAATGCAAGTCTAACAATGTTTCATGACACAATTTGTAAGTGTCGTTTGTCGCAGGTAACTGAATACAAAAACGCTGTTTTGAGAGTGTGATAACCTTATTTATGCCGTCATTTTGACTCTTTAACCGCCGTGACGCCTTGACTTCTTTATTCAAAACGTTTTCCTCTTTTATTCTAGTGAGCCACTCAGATGTTGTGGTTCAGTCTTCTGAGCCCAGGGGCTATACCATAACGAATCGAACAAAACACTGAACAAACACCCAACACTAAAAACTGCCACTGACAGTGGTGAGTGGATCCACCTTCCCGAATCCGAAACCAATTACCGAACTCGAAACCAGCAAGGGGTGGCGCAGCGGGTGGGCGCCGACCCCGGCCCGATCGGGCTGCCATCGACCGAACGGCCGGGATGGACCCGCTGCGCGACCGCGCGGAGGGCGGCCCTCCCCGCATCGCCCCAGACCGCCGAGTGGAGGGACCTAACTGGCACCGCTGGACTGACCAGATCGCGGACAAGACCCAGACTCAAACCACTAACCAGACCCAGACCCAGACTCCAAACCACTAACCAGACCCAGACCCTGGACCACCGGGGCCAGACCCCGGACCAGACCCAGACCCCGAACTAGACCCAAACCGTGCCCTGGGCGCCCGGCGAACGAAACTCCTTTGGGACGGACCAATATATAGACATAGCCGCTCAGTAAATGTGGCCATGGACGAGCCATTCCGCTGACATATTTCATGCCGGTTGTTTCCCAATCGGTATTGATGCTGAACACTTATTGACATAGATGCTATCGGGATGGGGCGTATGTCCCGAATGCTTTTCCTGTCTGATAGCATTGTAAAAATGTACGGCAGATAATGGCTCCTTTTTTACCATAATGTCTTTCGGGTTTATCAGATAGTTGCGGCTTAGCACTGAAAAAATTATACTGTTAACATTGAGCAAGATATTGTAGCCCGTTTTTGAAGCGTTCAATGATGTAGCACATTAAGCGCTAGGCTGCTTTGGTTATTTAATTGCACATTACGCAGGTCATTAAGTATGCTGATGTATGTATAGGACAGCACTAATAAAATAGGCTTAACACGAGATTATTGAGAGCCTGTAACCAAGGCCGATGGATGGCTATTTAGTAAATACCTGATCTTAACGAAAATAATAATTTATTATTATTACATAGACGTATTGATATAAATGGGAAAGGCAATGGGAACGTGTTGTTTTTATATTAAAATTGGTTACACATGTGTTTCGGGAATAATCCCTTGATCACACCATATAAAAGTAACTACGTCCTATATCGAAATACAATCGAGGTCGAACGGGGTCGAATGGGGACGTTCACAGACACTCACAGATTAGCAATTCTATTCATGACTGAAAACGTTACACTGCTTTTCGCCCGGAACCCCTACTTCCTGAAATCATTTTTCAAAATTAATTGAGCAGTGTGCTTGCTGAGTTTTACTTTACCCGAATTCCCATTCAAATGCCACGAAAATTCAAATTCAAATGCCACGAAAAGAAAGGAATATATATCAGTACCTCTGTCAGAACAATCTGAAGTGATCACAAGCTTTACCCGGGGAGCCTTAAACATTACATCTCCATCGGGTTCAACAATTAAGGATATTTTACGGCGCAAGAAGAAAGCAAGCAACCAAAACATGGTGGTTTATAAAATTCCATGTGGCGTTTGTGAAAAAAGCTACATAGGGGAAACATACAGGGGTTCAGCTAAACGGATAGAGGAACACAAAAGAGATTTGCGGAATCACCAAGAATCTAACGCCATAGTGCAGCATGTGGATGACGCGGGGCATTTGCCAAACTGGTCGGCGATGTCAAACCTATGCGTGGGATTAAATAAGCGTAACCGACAGGCGGTGGAAGCAGCGTTTATTTCTACGATTAGTAATTTCAATGGGAATTCGGGTAAAGTAAAACTCAGCAAGCACACTGCTCAATTAATTTTGAAAAATGATTTCAGGAAGTAGGGGTTCCGGGCGAAAAGCAGTGTAACGTTTTCAGTCATGTATAGAATTGCTAATCTGTGAGTGTCTGTGAACGTCCCCATTCGACCCCGTTCGACCTCGATTGTATTTCGATATAGGTAGTTACTTTTATATGGTGTGATCAAGGGATTATTCCCGAAACACATGTGTAACCAATTTTAATATAAAAACAACACGTTCCCATTGCCTTTCCCATTTATATCGAAAATAATAATATTTTAATTCCCTAATCTTAATGATCTAAGTGCTCAACTACACCAAAGTTCTAATGGAATTCGGCTCTCATTGCTACATCAGAAATTATTTAAGGGCACCTTAAATCAAGAGTTCAGAGCAGGTGCAGAGCAATAGAGCTCTGCAAAATAGCGTGTGACCTTTCTTATTGTGATGCATTTATCATCAAGAAACTTTGCAGCTGTTCCGATTTTAAAGTAAACTGGACCTATTCCGGCTCCCAAAGCATACTTATTTGTGACGTTTCGACAACAATAAGCTAGCATGTGTGTTTTAGATTAGAACACAGTCTATGTTGTTCTTTCATACTGCTGACCTAGAAATGCGTCTTATTTATTTCTCTCTTCCCTCTCATGGAGCCTTGATTATGTCATCAACTAGACGACAGAAACTGGAAGCGAAGTTTCAATGACCGTCAATGAGGGTGTGCCAGCAAAGACTATCGATTAGGAACTTAATTAGCGGATTGAGTACCGTTAAAGGGCCAAGTCCATTTAGGTATTTGCCATTGCTGTAAGGGCTTAAACGCTAGCTGGGAAATATGCTATAACGACGAATGTGCAACAAATTGTTACGAATTTCACTCATTTCAGTACTAATTTAGTGCAGTGATAACGGCGCTTAGACTTGTCTGTTCTGGTCACTGAGATCGGCATTTGGATACCTAGGTGAAAAGGCAATAGCATTTCCTTCAATACAATGACAGGTCATCAGTCTGAACAATGGGATGGTGCAGCGTCACGGTTGGTCATTACGCCGCCCGATGATACGAATTCATGAGGGAGGACTGAACTTCAAGTAATCTTGATCTTGGGCGAACTGACCCACCTAAAGCCGAATGCGATTAGATAACATTGCTGTCTGGCATTGTCTGAGTTTGTGGAAAAGTGCATCTTTCAAGTCTGAAATCGACTCTGACCCATGTCACCGTTACGTCACATGAATTCCAGCGCCTCCGTCAGGTCGTTTCAGAATGTAACGGAAGTTGGCACAGATTCAGCACAGGTTCAGCACAGCACAGATTCGGTAGGGGGAAAAAAGGCCACGGTAGAGGGAAACCTTTATGACCCGTTTTCCCCTAGAAATGACGTCACAAGGAGGTAAAAATGGGTATCAATCGAAAGCTCTCGTTTACCCAGACACAGTACTGCAGGAAAATTTCACTTTTTCCCCATAGGAAAGTTTTTACGGGAAAATCAAAATTTTGGGTCAATGGGGGGCCCCCCCCCCGATTTCGTTCAAAATCGACACACAGGTGCCCCACCACCAGCCGAGAAACTTTCCCCAAAACGGTCCCCGTTGCATTGACGTTTAAGGCCCGTAAAGCCCCCTAGCCTCGTAAAATATCCGTAAAATCGCCTTTGTACGGACAAAAAAGTGGTGCTATGGTAAAAATGGGTATCAATCGAAAGCTCTCGTTTACTTAGACACAGTCCTGCAGGAAAATTTCACTTTTTCCCCATAGGAAAGTTTTTACGGGAAAATCAAAATTTTGGGTCAATGGGGGTCCCCCCCCGATTTCGTTCAAAATCGGCACACAGGTGCCCCACCACCAGCCAAGAAACTTTCCCCAAAACGGTCCCCGTTGCATTGACGTTTATGGCCCGTAAAGCCCCCTAGACTCGTAAAATATCCGTAAAATCGCCTTTGTACGGACAAAAAAGTGGTGCTATGGTAAAAATGGGTATCAATCGAAAGCTCTCGTTTACCCAGACACAGTCCTGCAGGAAAATTCACTTTTTCCCCATAGGAAAGTTTTTACGGGAAAATCAAAATTTTGGGTCAATGGGGGTCCCCCCGATTTCGTTCAAAATCGGCACACAGGTGCCCCATCCGTAAAATTTTACGAGTCTAGGGGGCTTTACGGGCCTTAAACGTCAATGCAACGGGGACCGTTTTGGGGAAAGTTTCTCGGCTGGTGGTTGGGCACCTGTATGCCGATTTTGAACGAAATCGGGGGGACCCCTCATTGACCCAAAATTTTGATTTTCCCGTAAAAACTTTCCTATGGGGAAAAGTGAAATTTTCCTGCAGGACTGTGTCTGGGTAAACGAGAGCTTTCGATTGATACCCATTTTTACCATAGCACCACTTTTTTGTCCGTACAAAGGCGATTTTACGGATATTTTACGAGTCTAGGGGGCTTTACGGGCCTTAAAGGGACACTCCCACCTTAACATTAGTTTTGAGTTGAGATAGCCAAATTGGTGGCCATGGCCTGAAAATACCGGTTTGGGCATTCACAACATCGAAAAATGCTTTAATTCGGAGATATGGAATTTCAAACTTGCAGTTTTCGGATTCTAAGGGGCTAATGCATTGGTATGCCCCCTTAGAATTTGTGACGTCAGCGGAGATCTAACGATTTTTAAATGTTTGACTAAAACGTTTTGTAGCACGCGGTGGTATATGCTATTTGCGCGCAACAACTGCCGCAAACGCCGCACTTCTAAAATAAAGTCGCTAGAAACAGCGGAGATCCCAAAAAGTAAACAAAAGTGAAAGTCTAATATCTTGAAAACCGGTGAATATTTTTCGATGAAATTTGGTAGATATTCATTTTTGCTCTTTCTGAACCGAGCGACATCACTTTCATGCCAATTCATTAACTTTTTTGGAGGTGGGAGGGTCCCTTTAAACGTCAATGGAACGGGGACCGTTTTGGGGAAAGTTTCTCGGCTGGTGGTGGGGCACCTGTGTGCCGATTTTGAACGAAATCGGGGGGATCCCCCATTGACCCAAAATTTTGATTTTCCCGTAAAAACTTTCCTATGGGGAAAAAGTGAAATTTTCCTGCAGTACTGTGTCTGGGTAAACGAGAGCTTTCGATTGATACCCATTTTCACCTCCTTGTGACGTCATTTCTAGGGGAAAACGGGTCATAAAGGTTTCCCTCTACCGTGGCCTTTTTTCCCCTACCGAATCTGTGCTGTGCTGAACCTGTGCTGAATCTGTGCCAACTTCCGTTACATCGTTTCAGAATACCACGTGTCTTGATGTATGGGGATGACGTCACCTCGTCAACCAACGCAGTCATAGGACGTTGTCCCATCTGCGCCTGCTAATGTGGGAAAGCCGCGCCTAATTAGAAATTACCCTGGCAACAGCTCACTGCTGCATCTGCTGACACTGCACGGCCAATGCATCAACAGCGGGACAATCTAATGCCGAGGCACTTGGCTGAGCCAATCTAATAGATAGGTGCTTGGCTGAACTAATCCAATTTTCACGTGCTCGGCTAAGGCAATAGACGCCGGAAGCGATATTATTTGTGAAGGACAAGTTTAGACGGTCAAGCCAAGTAACGCTCAATAAACTAAAAATTACCACCTAACAAAATGACATTTTACACGGACTGGAAGATATTCTCTCTCGGTGTGTATGTGTGTCTGCCTGCCTGTCTGTCTGTCTGTCTGTCTGTCTGTCTGTCTGTCTGTCTGTCTGTCTGTCTGTTGTCTGCCTTCAGAATGTCGTATCTCCCTCTCGCTCGCTTTCTCTCTTTCTCTCTCCCTATCTCTCTCCATTTCTCTATTTTGCTCTCTCTCTCTCTCTCTCTCTCTCTCTCTCTCTCTCTCTCTCTCTCTCTCTCTCTCTCTCTCTCTCTCTCTCTCTCTCTCTCCCTATATCTCTCCCTTTCTCTATTTTGCTCTCTCTCTCCCTCTCTCTTTCTTCTTTCTCACTCTCTGTCGCTCTCTCTCACTTCCTCTCTCTCTCTCTCACTTCCTCTCTCTCTCTCACTTCCTCTCTCTCTCTCACTTCCTCTCTCGCTCACTTCTCTCTCTCTCTCTCTCTCTCTCTCTCTCTCTCTCTCTCTCTCTCTCTCTCTCTCTCTCTCTCTCTCTCTCTCTCTCTCTCTTTCTCTCTCTTATTCTTACACATATACCTAAATGATGCTTTCTGTAATGCCCTTGACCATAAAAATTTCAATGCATTTTATGCATTATAACTTACTTTTGCATACCTACCTACACGCTTGACGCTACACTCACTAATTCATGACATATAAGATGGTAAATGCAAACCTTCAGAGCCGAACTCGTCTCTCAGCCGGTCTCCCATTCTCCTTTGTCCAGATTGGTAGCGCCTTTTCTGAAGTTTGCAACTCTGACAAACTTCTCTCTTTCCCAGGAAACTCTTGGAGCATCAGGAGCGGAACCAAGCATTCAATCTGAACGGGCCAGGCCATTGCCTGTCAGAATAACTCAGGTCGAAAAACCTTTCATCGATGCATCGCCAGTACGCTGACCTGAAAGCATCGCCACTGAATTCGATCTCCACATCAGCGGGATATTGTTACACCGAGATGAAATCGACGGCACGTTTCCGTCAGTGTATGATCAAGGTCGGCTCGGTGTAGAGGCTGCTGAACTGCCTCTGTGACCCAACTGGACGACTGAGCTGCCGGTATTAGCCCTCGCCTGTCCCGGTGGTGTGTCCTGTTTGCTGTGCCGTGTGCAAGACAGACACGCGTCCAGTCAGACACCACAGACCAAAGTCCAGACACACGGCCATTGTCGTGCGTGGTTGGCTAGGGAAACGGACGCCAGTGGCGATATGAGGTGGTCAATGTCGGGTGTCTGGTGTGCCAGCAGGTCACCTGTCTCCCTCTGGTGCCCTCCGGTGCCGCTGGTGCCCTCGGTTTCCGCTGTGCCGCTGGTGCCGCCTGCGGTGCCGCCGTGAAGTCCACGTTACGGCCGGCTCCGACCCACGGTCTCTCTAGGACACCGTCTTGGCCCCGAGTTGATCGCAGCGCCACCAGTCGGTCGGACTGGTGCCCAACAGCGACAGCTACCGACTCGTTGGGTCACGGCTGAAGTCTCGGCCCAGTTACAGACCTGTTGGAGTCCAGCCATCTCGACAGCTGTCCTGTCGTCTCAGTCGCGGCTCTACTGCCTCGGTGCTATACCGATAGCTGCCGACTTGTCACAGCAGCAGCAACAGCTGAATTTTTATCTCAGAAGTTGCCGTCTCGCGGTGAGACACACGAGTGAACATTGCTGTGCTGCAGCGTCTACCATACGATATCCAGTGAATGTCTGCAGACGTCTGCACTGCGCACAAGACTTAAATCGGCGAAACATTTACAGTTTAGCCGACCCATTGTAAAATAAAATGATCTCAAATCCCATCCATTTTAGAGATGATGAACAAACAGTGCAATGGTATAGTGATGAATGAGCTCTCTTGTAGCTCTCCTCTTCGTGGGCGTGCGGTCCGCAGCGTGATGGTAATCAATTAGTTTGATCCATGAACGCGGCTGACGGAACTTTGGAGGCCGACCTTCTTTAGAAGCCGGCGCGCATGTGGCGCTTAGTGAATGTAACAACATTCTCATGACAAAACGGCTTACGGCTCTGTAACTTAATTGTATATACGTAATGTGATGTCACGCCGTGTGCGTTATGGCACATAAAGTGCACATGGCAAGCTACACGGGCGATATCTACTTGAGCAGAAACTGACACCGTTAGGATGTGATGTAATTGTACGTGGGATGACTGGGTGGTTCGTTACGTGTCATATTCCCTTCCCTCCTCCCATATCATTCGCTTTAGTTACTGTCATCTAGTCAGCCATTTCTGCTCAGTGTATGTGGGATAATTTACCCGAGTCGTTATGATGTCTTAATTAAATGATAAATGCTGAAACACGTTGTGGTATGGCCGGTTTCTATTTCCTACGAAAACCTGTATTTATGTCGATTACCCTCCAAAATCAGCATTCTTGTTTTTGGGGGCTAGCCGCTTTGTTCGGGTGCCAGTCATGCTTTACGAAAATAATAATAAAGTACCTCCTAAATAATGTGTGTGAATGTGTGTGTGTGGTTCATATTCATTCAACACCGCGGTTGCCTCAAAAGTCGTCTGCCAGTATAGGAAGTTAAGTGTTTACCTAATACCACATACCTATGCGTAGGTAACATAATGTAAGGAAATGCCAAATGGCACTGCCCCGATAAAAATTACGCTCAACACAAAGGAACCTACCCATAAATAATAACCACAAAGCTACATACATTCCCCATGAATGCATTTCTAAATATTTTCTTTTTTTCCTTTTATGGTCAATGCTCGTACGCAGGCATATTACACAAAGTGAACCTCTAACTGCATTTTAGATGTTCCCCACCTAAATTTTTCTCTATAAAGCTGCATATATACTTATACACCTATATAGATATTCATCATCACCTAAACGTATAGATGCCGGTCCCGTATAGCTCAATCGGTAGAGCGTTGGACTCCGCGTGGTGAGAGCACGGAGCACGCGTTCCCGGTTACCGGAACGCGTTACCGGTTCCCGGTTCCCGGTTACCGGAACGCTTCGAACCCGGCCCGGGTTCGAAGCGTGACGGGCGCTTGACGTTTATGGGCCTACTGACAGGTATGGTTGCGATTGGTGGCAGGCCGAGGCCGTAGCCAGACAAAGTCAGTGAGGGGACCGCGCGGCCGTGCGCGGCTATGTGCGCACGTTAAACTTTGGACTCTTGAAACTTTGGAGTTTTTGCGGATAATTTTGTTAGAGTAATCGAGTATTTTAGAAGCACAGGCAAGAGTTGAATGGATCGGCGTAGATTTTTGAGAGAATTATACAAGAATTCAGAGGAATTTTGAAAGAGTGTTCAGAATTATAGCATGTTTTTGCAGAACAATGGAAGGGTCATGTAAGAGTAGAGAGAATATTTGTGGAATCATAGTAAGTCAAAGAAGAGTTTCAGATGAATTTTATCCGAGTTTGGTGTCGAAGAAGAGCTGCATCGAGAGTAAAAAAATGACAGCTGTCCCTAATGTGCTGGCAAGTGTCAACTTTTCTCTCAGTGCATATACCACCGCGGGCTACCAAAAAATTTAGTAAAAGATTTAAAATCGTTAGATCTGCGCTGACGTCACACATTCAGAGGGGGCATTCAAATGCATCAGCCCCTCTGAATCCAAAGTGCTGCAACTTTGAAATTAGATATTTTCGATTGGAGGCATTTCTTGATGTCGTGAGTGCTCAAACCGGTAAGTGCAAGCTAGGGACCCCATTTTTGGCTATCTCAACTCAAAACTAATGTTAAGGTGGGATGGTCGTTTTAACCCGCGCCCTGATGGGGTCTGCCGAGCAACGCGGTCTGATAGGGGGGGGGCACTTTGCCAATTGCCCCCCATCCCCTAAGATCTCGAGAACCACGCAACATAGCGGCAAGCGGCAAACGGCGTTGGATAGCACCAACGGGGAACTACCTTGTGACCCAATTTCGTTGACCTCGGTCTAACCGATGACGTCACAGTTTAGGTCAAATGTCGAATTTTCACCGTTATACCTACAGGCATTTCAAGAAATGCGTTGTAAAATCGAGTAAAATGCATGTCATTGAAAATCATCGGTGGGGACTTGTCCATAAAACACATATTTTGCTATTTGAGGTCACTGATACCAGGTCAGGTCACAGAGGTCAGGTCACTGACGGTCAAAATATGAAAATATCATGTGATGTATGTTTTATGGTCCATTTTACATGACAAATGTGATTATGTGGGCCAGGCAGCCTTTGGGTCAGTTAAGGTCATATTCTGGTGAAGGGCAGGTCAAGGTCAGGTCAAATAAGGTCAAATTTCAAACTTAATATTTTTGCGATATATTTTTGGGATTTTTTTGAGTTTTCTTAAAATAAACATTTTTTAATCTTTGAGGTGAAAATCCCAAAACTTGAAAATCCGAGATAGCAGTTTTGTAGCGCCCTCTTTTCTCTACACGACCACATAAAGAACTTCGATATTGCTTGTTAACTGTAGATTTTGTGAGCGTTTCAAGATGTCATGTTTTTTGCTCATTTTTGCTCGAACATGACCTCAGTTTGACCTCAATAACTCCTGACCTAAGGTGACCTGTGACTTGAAATTTTGTGTTAAGATGTCAAATTGATGCCCAGGAAGGTACTGAAAATTTGGCGGCGCTGTGCGCCCCCGTTTTCTCACTATTCAAGAAAAACCACAGGGGGGCAAAATGCCCCCCATCAGGGCGCGGGTTAAGTCAGGCCACCAAGTGACGTCAAGAAGCCCTACCTCTAAGCTTTGAAGGGTACAGATCTGGATCAGTGCCATCCATTTTATAATTCAGATTCGTATGCCTGCATCTGCCATCTTAGGTCAAGTCAAAAGGACAATGGAGCAGTAGGTAGGTGATCTGAATTCTGAAATAAGCCTTTTTTGTTGCAGCATTGCTGGAAGGTAGAGCCCCCTTCGTAGTTCGTCTACTTGTCAGTTACATCCGCTTACGTGACTAAGATCTATGCCACAAATTTCCTAATGCACCGGTGATGTTCATGGAGCGGAAATCCCTCCGTCCCCCTCCCCGTGGCTAGTAGCGGCGGAACACCTTCGATTAAGGAGGGGGGGGGGGGCACTGCCGACTTTTGGTCGGTGGTCCCATTCTTTCCATGCAACGCCCATAGAGCCCATGTTAAAATGCCAGAATCAAAGGGGGGCACGGTGCCCCGGTGCCCTCCCCGTTCCGCCGCCTATGCCCGTGGCGCAACTCTTGCTTACCGGTCTTTGACGAGGCCGAATTTAACAGGCTGCTCAAGCAAATTTACATTCACCAGAGGCCTCATTTGTGCACGGTCGAACTGATCAGATTCCAAATTATTTTATAGGTTTGCTTCTGTTTACATGGCTCCTTATTGCGAATAACCGCTGCAAATTGCCATCCTTGGGCGTTTTTTTTTTTGGGGGGGGGGGCATCCCCCTCGGATTCCACGACTGGAGGGCACCGGGCACGCGTGCCCCTCGTCCCCCCGCTTTCGACGCCTATGGTTATCAGACACAGTGGTGAGAACTTTTGCAACTCGGACACATGGCTATACGGAGATTGTGTCGGACAGAGCACGGTGGGAAAGCTCAATATCGGACTGCGGGGATGCCGTCAGTGCTGACAACGTTTGCCCGTGCACTTTTGTTTTGCTTACGGGTTATTCGTGTCCAGTTCCTTTATAATTGGGAGTTTTTTATAGTTTATATGTATATCGACCAGTACCCATCCAGCGATGAAATGAATAATGCTTCTATATCTCCTGTGAATACCTACTGGTGATCATGATAACATTTATGATTGTGGTATACCTACGGTAAACAACACTAAGCTTGCGATGAATCAGAAATTAATATTACTTTTTAAGAATTCCAAATAAAAATTTTCATTGTTGAACAACAACCTTTGTCTTTTTTCATTTGCCTCTAATGACTTTTGAGACCAAAATTTCTCACATTTTTATTTTTTCAAAATAAACTTCATGTCATTGCAAATCGACATGCAAAAAATTAAAAAGGTGTTCTTTCTATAAGTTCCTCATTTTCCCGCAAACAAAATGGGTTTCGGAGGGGTTGATACGACCCCAGCACGTCGTTTCGCTTCTACACCTTTTTTCAATCCGAATCGGCATCCGTTCATTCAATTACGGCAGCGGGCACCTTATCTCGACAGCCACTCCAACAACTCGACACCGGAGCACGCATTTCGACACGTTTCACGGATTTAGACTAGCATCTGTTGATATTCGACCAGGGTCATTGAACAACAGCAGGGGCATTTAATATCGACAAAGGGCATTCTGTTTTGTCATATTGCATTTTAAGTCGGCAGCTTGCAGCCAAGCTAGACAATGGTCAATTTATCTCATCAGTGAATTAAGCAACTCTTATCTTTTCGGAAAGGCATTTTAAGAATGTGCGTTAAAATGTTCCACGGTACTGTAAAGAGACACTCAATATGGGCGCTTGGTTGCTAAGTAACCACACCTTTTTCAATCCGAATCGGTAACCGTTCATTGGAATACGGCAACGGGCACCTAATTTCGTCAGTCGCTCTGGAACCTAACACCGGTTCGTCCCTAACATCACCCGCTTCCGGCACACAAGCTGACCTTATTCGAGGTCACCATCCTTGCGTCACTCTGTGACAATGTGGAAGCACTGGCGAATCCAAAGGGCGACGGGGGTCATTCGGGGCCACGCTCCTGGCGAATCCAAAGGTTGACGGGGGTGATTCGGGGCCTCGCTCCTCTCAACGCATCTAGCCGCAGCTCACCGGTCACTGGTAGACTCACCCAAATGCTTCCTCCGCATGATCTTCTCATCTCACGACTCTGACATGGCTTGCTATTGCTAGCCTACTCACCCTCCATTCACAGAAAAAAAAAAAACGTTTAGACCTTAAAACAACGGCCTTGGCGTACATTTTGTATTTTGTGTTCCATTACTCCAAGGGAAGTCTAAGAAAAGGAAAAAAATGCTATAAATTCTAGTGGTAAACATTGAAAACGCATCAATGTAAAAAGTATGGTTTGAAATTTGTTCGATTTAACTTGTTATACCGCCAACGAAACTGCATGACCATTGCCATTGTAAAATGAAATTTGCCTTTTTCCAACGCCCGATGTCACAGTCCTTTGCCGTGTGCCGAAATCCATTGGCCAGTGTCGAAATCACGCTCATTGTCGACATTAAATGCCCCATGTCACGCTGCTGCACTATGCCGAGTTTGAGGCGTGGTTTGTCGAAAGCGCACTCCAGCTGACGTTCCTAATGCAGATCTGCCGAAACTAACTGACCAGATGCCGATTCGGATCGAAAAAAGGTGTAATAGAGCTAGAGTCTCGCGGAAAAAAACGAGCGTGTGTGCCGTTACAAGTCGCAGCGATTGGTACCCGATTTTAACCCTCGCCCTGGCAGGGGGGGGGTCGATGCGACCCCCCCTAAGGTTTTTCGAAGATAGCGTAAAAACGGCGGCGCGCAGCGCCGCCAAATTTGGCACAGCCT